TATTGAAGTTAACTGTTGATTCAAATAAGATACTCTATGTTGATTAGTGCCATTACTCCACAAACAATCCCTTTTCCAAAGCTAAGGTCAAATTTCGCATGCCATGCATTTCACAATGAGGACCTGGATTCAGGTAGTCGGTTAGAAAGCCCATGATGGGTAATGACAAGCTGACTTTAATGAATGACCACTTCATTAAAAAAATAAAAGCCGCAAACATGTGCTTTCTTGCCCCTTTCTGGACAGAAACAAGTCATAGGATATTTTAGGATATATTGCACAGAATGACTCCCTAAAACAAATCAGTTCTCCAGAAGCACAGGATGAGAAGGATGTTCGGGAAATATTTTCTGTGAGAAGGTCACTACATTAAAAATCGTCCTATACCTATCTTTATTTTTTTTAGTCTTCCCGACAAAGATTCTGCTATATAATTTCCATTAACAGCGCTAACAGATGAAGAAAACAGTTGATCCTCAGGCAGACACTTTCGGCTTCTTTTTCTTGGCTTTCAGTACTGGAGGCAGAGAAATCTTAAAGGCTGTCCTGTAATTATAGAGAGGAAAACATTTTTTAATGTTCTAGAGCTGTGAAGTATGAGTCACCCACACAATCTCAAAGGTACTTACTCGCAGGTAGTACAAATGGGGCTGAAATTGCAGAATACTGTAAATTGAAAGAAAAAAAAGAAACAATAGGGTGGCTGAAAAACAACACAGCTGAGAAACTGTTTTCCTGCCCCCCAACATAGAAAAAAAAAGAAAAACTAGGTACATGAACTTACTTGACAAACACACAGAACAGACATAACCAATTTCAATGAGATTTCGATGACAGAAGCAAGCAGCCCTGTAGTCAACATGAACTGGGGGTGGCAGGATTAACTGAGATCTCTGATCTTGATCGGGAAGAAACACCCACTGTAAAATAAACAAACAAAAGGGTTTATTGAAAACACGGAGAAAAAATAACATGAAGCCCACCATTCTAGGCCTTGAAATTCCAAGGCCCACATTTATTCCTTTCTTCCAAGTACTAGCTCCAGCCATCTTGCTTCCAGTCCTTTCCCAGCACGCAGAGGTCGTCCTTCCCTCCAGGCATCAGGGTTGCCGCTGTCTCCTTACCAGCAAGTACTGCAAAAGGGATGGCATCTGGGGCACCTTTAGGTACAGTCCTCCTGTGATGTCACAAGCCTGCAAGACACAGACAGCTTGCTGCCAAACTCACACGTACATAGGCTTTCCAGAGGAGTGGGATTCTCACCAGCAATGCTTTAGGTCTACCAAACCAGAGGGGGATATGTGAATTACTATTATTATTTTGACAGAGTCTTGCTCTGTCACCCAGGCTGGAATGCAGTGGCGTGATCTTGGCTCGCTGCAACCTTCCCCTTCTGGGTTCAAGTGATTCTTCTGCCTCAGTCTCCCGAGTAGCTGGGATTACAGGTGCCTGCCACCATGCCCAGCTAATTCTTGTATTTTTAGTAGAGATGAGGTTTCACTATGTTGGCCAGGCTGGTTTCGAACTCCCAACCTCATGATCCGATCACCTCAGCCTCCCAAAGTGCTGGGATTACAAGCATGAGCCACTGTGCCCGGCCTCTGCTTTCTATCTCTATGGATATACCCATTAGTGACATTTCATGTAAATGAAATCACGCAAAATATGGCCTTTTGTGAGTCGTCGTTTTCAAGGTCTGTCCATGCTGTAGGATATATCAGCATTTCATTCCTTTTAATAACAAATAACATTCCATTGTATGGATATGGCACCATTTGTTTATCCATTCATCAGTGCACGGACATTTGCGTTGTTTTCACTTTGGGGCCATTATGAATAACGTGGCTATGAATATTCATGTATTCACACACAAATTTTTCTGTGGACCCATGTTTATGTTTTCATGTCTCTTGAGTTTATAATAGGAGTATAACTCCAATTATACCTAGGAAATTAATTGCTGGGTCACATGCTAATTGGTCTCTTTCTTTTTTTTTTCTGACATGGCGTCTCACTCTGTCACTCAGGCTGAAGTGCAGTGGTGTGATCTCAGCTCATTGCAACCTCTGCCTCTTGGGTTCAAGTGTTTCTCCTCGCTCAGCCTCCCAAGTAGCAGGGATTACAGGCATGTGTCACCACCACATCTGGCTAATTTTTGTTTCTTTCTTTTTTTTTTTTAGTCAGAGTCAGAGTCTAGCTCCGTTACCCAGGCTGGAGTGCAGGGAGGCAATCTCGGCTGCTCTGGGTTAGGGTTTTACACTTGGATCTTGGCTTAGGGTTTTCTAGCTCTGATTCTAGGATTGAGGGTCCTCTGATAGCACAGTCCTGGTTCAGCTGGTCTATTAGATTCATTTACACATTTAACAACTATTTTAGAGCACCGTGCGGGGTTACAGCACTACACAGTGTCCATCCTCGTGAAGTTAACGTTCTAGTGGAGAAGACAGAGAGTAAATCAGTTAAGTAAATGCAAAAATAATGTTATAGGTTATGACCACTTCTATGAAGAAAAATAAAGCAGGGTAAGGGGAGAGGGAGTAACACTGACACTGGTGGTCAGGGAAGGCTTCTCTGAGGAGGTGGCACAGAAGTAGAGACCTGAAGGCAGGCAGGGAGTAGGCCATGCAAACACCTGAGGGAAGAGCTTGTGAGCAGAATGAACAGCTAAAGCAGGGACCCTCTGGCGGAAGCAGGCCTGTTTCAAGCAGTAGCAAGGACACGGGTGGGGCCAGATGGGAGAGGGAGAGTGTGAAAGATTCGGGCAAAAGGTTCCCATGAGCCTCAGCAGGTGGCATCTTAAAGGCCCTGGCAGGCCCTGACTCTGGGTTTTAGTTGACATGTGATGACAGGCCATGGGAGGGTTTCAAGCAAGTGAGCACCATGTTCGAATTTATATTAGGTTGGTGAAAAGTAATTGCAGTTTTTGCTGTTAGATTATAGGCATGAGCCACTGAGCTCAGCCAGGATATATTTTAAAGACAGAATCAACAGGATTTGCTCATGGATATGAAAGGAGGGAAGAGAAGAGACAGGAAGAGTTGGGTTTTTGCTTGAACTGCTGAGCGAGCTGCAGTGCCACTTAGGAAGATGGCGCAGGAAGAGGCTGAGAGGACAAACCAAGCGCTCTCTGCTTTGGACACACGACGTGGAAGATGCCTGCCAGATGTCCAAGAGCAGGTACTACGGACAGGGCGGATTCTGCAAGTCTGGAACTCAGGAGAGTCTGGGACTGGACTAGAGAATGAATGTGAGGGCCGGGGAGGTAGAGCTGGCATTTGAAGTCATGGCAGAGGCAAGATCGTCTTGGAGTTACAGATAATGTGTAGACTGAAATGTGCTGCTAACACATGAATTCAAACTTTTTGAATTTTTACTACTGAAACATAATACATACAAGAATCTATATACATAATGTGCAAATACGGTGTGTGTGGTTTTTTTTTTTGAGATGAAGTTTCGCTCTTGTTGCCCAGACTGGAATGTAATGGCACCATCTTGGCTCCCAGGTGATTCAAGTGATTCTCCTGCCTCAGCCTCCCGAGTAGCTGGGATTACAGGCATGCGCCACCACGCTTGGCTAATTTTTCTATTTTTAGTAGAGATGGGTTTCTCCATGTTGGTCAGGCTGGTCTCAAACTCCCGACCTCAGGTGATTTGCCCTCCTCAGTCTCCCAAAGTGCTGGGATTATAGGTGTGAGACAACGCGCTTGGCCAAGTATGGTTTAAATAATAAAATAAACATCATATCTGTATACCTACGATCAGCTGAAGAAACAGTACAGTCTCAGAACCTTTGAAGCCTATGAATTTCTGACTGGACCTTGCTCTCCTCATCCTTCATCTGTAGCAGTAACCTAAATTCAGGGTTTGTCACAGTTTTGTGCTTGTAACTGATCCTTTAGGAAACAACATTTGTGGCCAAAAAACATCTAACATAAGCTTGGTAATTTCTTCAGACTTACTTTAGGGTTAGGGTTTTGTTTCCCTTTCAAGTTAAAGTAAAATTCAGTTTTTGTCTTTTTCATTAAAAAGCAACATCTGGCTTTGCGAGCAGAGAGAACACCTGGCGCAGTGACCCTCTGGCTGAAGCAGGCCTGTTTCAGGCAGTAGCAAGGAGGCAGGTGGGGCCGGACGGGAGAGGGAGAGTGTGAAAGATGCAGGGCAAAAGGTTCCCAGGAGCCTCAGCAGGTAGCACAGTGGCTCATGCCTGTAATCCCAGCACTTTGGGAGGCAGAGGTGGGTGAATCACAAGGTTAGGAGTTCAAGATCAGCCTGGCCAAGATGGTGACACCTTGTCTCTACTAAATATACAAAAATTAGCCAGGTGTGGTGGCAGGCACCTGTAATCCCAGCTACTCAGGAAGCTGTAGCAGAGAACTGCTTGAACCCGGGGGGGGGGGGGGAGTTTGCAGTGAGCCCTGATCCCGCCACTGCACTCCAGCCTGGGTGACAAAGGGAGACTCTGTCTCAAAGGAAAAAGCAACATCTGATAGTGCTGTCCAACAGAAATATAATGCAAGCAATATGTAATTTAAAATTTTCTAGTAGCTCCCTAAGAAAGGGGGAAATAAATACATAAAATTAGGTTCAGGCCAGGCATGGTGGCTCACGCCTGTAATCCCAGCACTTTGGAAGGCCAAGGTGGGCAGATCACGAGTTCAGAAGTTCGAGACCAGCCTGGCCAACATGGTGAAACCCTGTCTCTACTAAAAATACAAAAATTAGCCAGGCGCAGTCGTGGGCGCCTATAATCCCAGCTACTCGGGAGGCTGAGGCAGGACAAACACTTGAACCCGGGAGGCAGAGGTTGCGGTGAGCCAAGACCATGCCACTGCACTCCAGCCTGGGTGACAGAGCAAGACTCCGCCTCAAAAAAAAAAAAATTAGGTTCAATAACATGTTTTATTTAACCCAATATACCCAAAGCATTTTCATTTTGAATTGTAATCAATATAAAATCACTAATTTTCATAACCAGACACACAAAGCATGGTTTTAAAACATACCTGTTGGAGGAGCCCTGAATCGGAGTCTAAAACACAGGCATCAATCAAAATATTCTGAAAGAAACATTTTAAAGATATTACAGGAATAATAACAATAATGACTACCCTACCCTGAGAACATACTACACGCCATACTCTATGCTTAAAATAGCTTGCTCAATACACATCACGGCAGATATTTCATTTGCATTTGGCAGCTGAAGCACCCAGGACATAGCTGGGCTGTGGTCACAGAGCCAACAGGTGGCAAAGCTGTCACCCCACTCGGCCTATCTCCAAAATTCATGCTTTCTCCTCTACATCATGCTGCCACTCCACAATAGAGAACATTATGCAAAGCTACAGCAGCATTTCACATGAAAATTAAAGTTTTAAGAAGGTATTCTTTCTTTATAAATATATCAAAGAAGAAAATGTATTATACTTCATCTGAACGTGTCAGTTCTTTGCAAAGTAAAAATATTGAATCTTTTTTTTTTGAGACAGAGTTTTGCTCTTGTTACCCAGGCTGGAGTGCAATGGCGCGATCTCGGCTCACCGCAACCTCCATCTCCTGGGTTCAAGCAATTCTCCTGCCTCAGCCCCCCGAGTAGTTGGGACTCCAGGTGTGCGCCACCATGCCCAGCTAATTTTTTGTATTTTTAGTAGAGACGGGGTTTCACCATGTTGACCAGGATGGTCTCGATCTCTTGACCTCATGATCCACCTGCCTCAGCCTCCCAAAGTGCTGGGATTCTAGGTGTGAGCTACTGCGCCCGGCCCAAATACTGAATCTTTATAGACCTCACCACAGCAAAATGATAAATAAATTGAGGCAAGGTTTATACAGCAAACTGTCAAACCAGATATTCTTGGCATGGGGTCCAAGGATGGGCTAACGGGTGACCTGAATACCATAAACTCTATGCAAAACCGTGGTTGAGTGCACGTTGTTTTGGGAATGCATCAGATTCTCAAGTGGTCCAGGACCCAAAATAGAGAAAAGACTACAACACAATACAGATTCTGGATTCCTAGCCCATTCATAAGGCTATTTAATCAGAATTATCTCAGAGTAGAGCATTCAAAAAGTGAAACTGACTCCTTCTTTATGAAACAAACACTTTAAAAGGTAGGCTCTCGGTTCACCTGTTTCTGTGCTGCGAAGATGACATTCATGAAGTTCATATACTGCAACGCACTGTCTTCTGCAGCCTTAATCACCTAAAAATCACAGCCATGTTAATTCCGTTCAGGCACATCCTAGTTCTCTCACAGCAGTGTCACACAATATACTGTGAACCATAACCAACATTATTCCAGTCTGTCTTCCCATTTATCATTATTAAACGATATCTAAAGGATAAAGATGACAGTGACATTTCCCCCCAAATCCTACCACCCAGCGACAGTCCACGTAAGGGTTTGATGAACTCATTCTTGAGAACACCTATGTAGGTAGGTATATACAACACACACACACACACACACACAATACACACACATGTACGTATGCCCAAAATACACATATGCACACACAAAATATACACACCCAAAACACACACACAAAATACACACACATGCACATACACCCAAAACAAACACCCCCCCCAAAATACACTCAAAATATACACACCCAAAACACACACACTCAAAATACACCCCAAACACACACACACCCAAAAAACTCAAAATATACACATGCACACTCAAAACACACACACCCAAAAAACACACACATGCATACACCCAAAGCACACACATGCCCAAAATACACACGTGCACGTACACCCAAAACACACCCAAAATACATCCACACCCAAAATACACACACCCTAAATACATACACAACCAAAACATACACATACACAAAATGCACACACATACACATACCCAAAATACAGGCACACACACCCAAAATACACCCTGAAAATATACACACCCAAAAAGTATACACATCCCAAAATAAGAACACCCCCAAAAATACACATCCAAAATACATACACACACAAATACACATATACCCAAAACACACGCACCCCACACCCAAAATATACCCCCAAAAAAACACATCCCACACACACATCTAAAATACACACACACCACACAAAATACATACACCCCAAAATATACACACCCCAAATACACACATAAAACACACATAAACCCAAAATACACACACCCAAAACACACAAACACACCCAAAACACACATACATCCAAGATCCACATACACACACCCAAAATGCACACACTCCAAACACACACGCAGGTGTCGGGATGATTACCTAGGGTTCTGCAACTTGCTTTTCCAGTCCACAATGTATGTGGGAAAAAATATTTTCATGTTGATGAATTAGAATATATACTATGCTTCTTGCTGACTTCATAAATATCCACTATTTAGGCAGTTTCCAATTCTCCATTTTAAACAACGCTCTGATGACACCCTCATAGACCCTCTGCACAACTCTCTAATACTTCCAGAAAATAAGCAGTGATTGACTACTAAAGTATATGAACATTTAATTTTGATACAGATTACCAAAATGCACTCCAGAAAAACTTTTACCAATTTATCCTCCTATCAGCAATGCATGAGAATAATCAATCCCCAACTTCACCATCAACCTTGGGAACCGCCAGTTTTTTCATTTGTGCTGAGCAACAATGAAAATCTCATTATTTGACATGCTTTTGCTTACTAGTAAGACTGAACATACTGTCAAATGCTAAACTGACTGTTTGCATTTCTTCTTTCGCAGACTGCTTGTTTTCTGCCTGTTTTTCTAAAGCTTGACTTCTAACAATTAATTTATAAGAGCTGCTTTTATTTTGGAAATATTGGATTAATTTTCTGTCAGGTAGCTCTGCTGGAAATACTTTTCCTGAAACTTTTTCCTTCATCCTTGTTTCGGGAGTTTCATATTTTCAAGATTTTAAGCTTTGAGTTTCACATCGTGCTTAGCAAGGCACTCACCTTCCCAAATTACCAAGATTATTTTATTCTAGCACGTCCTCCGCCTCCCAAGTTCAAGGTATTCTCCTGCCTCAGCCTCCTGAGTAGCTGAGATTATAGGCGTGCACCACCACGCCTAGCTAATTTTGTATTTTGAGTAGAGATGAGGTTTCCTCATGTTAGCCAGGCTCCATCTGCCTCCACCTTCCAAAGTACTGTGATTACAGGTGTGAGCCACCACGCCTGGCCTCCATTTTGTTTTCTAATTGTCCATAGTTGTCATATAAACAAAGTAATGATTTTTTTAATCTTACCAATATCCTTGATTTCATTTCCTGATTATCTATAAGGAGAAAAAAGCAGAATAAAATTTAAATAAACCTTACTAAATATATATGGCTTCCTAATCAATTTTTAAACAGTCCAGCAAAGACATACTAGTAAAATAAGTAGGATTACGGTTCTCATAGTAAAATGCAGGCTCTTACCTTTAATTTCCTTGTTCATTCTATGAATGTCTTAATTTTTTAACATTAAGGAATACAAAAATATTATTTTGCTTCATACATATTTATAGTAAAAAGAAAAGTAACCTCCAATTTTAAATAAACCCAGCATCTACCTAGCTAAGAAAGGAAATGCTCCACTTACCAACACGAGAACAATTGAGGGTTTCAGTTACTAACTCTGCAGTCAACTGGGCTTTGTCATCTGACCAAAATATAATCTTTGTCTCAGAAAATTAAAATTACTAACACTTGACTACCCTATTATCTACCGTGTCCTAAATTTGAGTCCTGGGACAAGTACTGATTCACAATGATGTTCAGGCAACCCACAACAAACTCTAAGACAAAGGAATCACTCAATATTGCCCTTCCCCCAAAAATTAATGCCATAAGACTGAGAAAATGTCACACAGATAAAATGGAAAGGTTTTACCCTATGCTACGTGGAAAACAATCTGTTCACCAATGGAGAAGTGGCCACTCATTTACTAAGCTTTAGGGCTCCTAAGCAGCTTTTAAAAATCAAACACTGTTCCCAAGTCAAGAAGATGAAAATGTTTTAAAAGTTCTAATTTATCAAAATACGAAACAAGAAAGCAGCCTGAAGCAGCGCTCCCTGCAGGCAGAAAGACACAATGGAGAAGTTGGAGTTTTCTCACTCTTCCCACTTCGTTTTTACCGCTTGTCTTAAAAAACATTTCAAAGCTGGCTGCGCATGGGGGCTCACATCTGTAATCCCAGCACTTTGGGAGGCTGAGGTGGGCAGATCACTTGAGGTCAGGAGTTTGAGACCAGCCTGGCCAACTTGGTGAAACTACATCTCTACAAAAATACAAAAAAAATTAGCTGGGCATGGTGGCAGGCGCCTGTCTCAGCTACTCAGGAGGCTGAGGCAAGAGAATTGCTTGAATCCAGGAGGCAAAGGTAAGCAGTGAGCCGACATTGTGCTACTGAACTCCAACTTGGGTGACAGAGTGAGACTCTGTCTCAAAAAAAAAAAAAAAAAAATTTCAAAGCCAATATAAACTATTTTTTTTTTAAGTTACCCTCCACTTCAGGGTACTCACACCTCCCATTAATGGGCACCCAAGGTCCTAACAAATGTCACAAGTTCAGATATGTTTATTACAGAAGACATGTTTTAAATGATTCAGATACTGAGGATACAGCAAAGGGCTTTGGCCAGGGATCCTGCCAGCAGAGTTTCTGTATGTTGACCCTTTATGTCACCTGTGAATAACAGAAAACATTTAAAAGGGAATATTTAAGTACTTGAACTAAGCACGCTTTCAAACCAAAGCATTCTTCATGAATAAAACCAAACAAGACATTTTTCAAACACATAGCAATATGTTCTTGGTAATGGTTAACCAAGCAGCTTTTTAACCTTTTCTCAATTTAAAACATCCTGGTGTTTGTTCAGGGGCCAGTGGGAGGGCAGGGGGAACAGGGAGTTAGTGTTTAATAGGTACAGAATTTCAGTTTGTAAAGATGAGAAAGTTCTGACTATGGAAGGTGGCGATGGTTGCAAAACAAGGCAAATATATTCAACATTACTGAATTGTACATTTAAATATTAAAATGCTAAATTTTATGGTATGTAAATTTTACATTAAAAATTCTAAAAATCGGTAAAATAGCAAATTTTTTTACTTGTATTTTTTTTTTTTTTTTTTTGGAGACGGAGTTTTGCTCTTGTTACCCAGGCTGGAGTGCAATGGCGCAATCTCGGCTCACCACAACCTCCACTTCCCGGGTTCAGGCAATTCTCCTGCCTCAACCTCCTGAGTAGCTGGGATTACAGGCACGCACCACCATGCCCAGCTAATTTTTTGTATTTTTAGTAGAGACGGGGTTTTCCGTGTTGACCAGGATGGTCTCGATCTCTTGACCTTGTGATCTACCCGCCTCGGCCTCCCAAAGTGCTGGGATTACAGGCTTGAGCCACCACGCCCGGCCTTGTTACTTGTATTTACCACACAAACACAAAAAAGATCCTGTTTTTACTTGGAAAGGTTCTAGTTTATTCCTGGTCTACCTGGTACAAAATGTCGTGCATAACTCTAGCACCCTGGACAGGGCACCAAGCTCTGAGGCGCCTGCCCTCCATCTCCCACCATCCCCTCCTTCCCATCACTGCGCTCAGCCAGTGCAGGGAAGACTGGAGAAACTCTTTCCTCTTGCCATGAGAAGCAGGGAGGAGTTTGCCACTTGTTTGGTGACTCCGGTGAAAAAAGTCACTCAAGAAATCAAAATCCTAAAACTGCAGTTCAAGAGGGCAAGGAGCCCCGATTGACACTCCATGCCAATCAGCCTAGAGCTGGTCCTGGAGAACTGACACCCCATGCGTGAGGTCACCACAAAAGGTCTTGAACACTATACTGTGAGGCTGAGCTGAGACTTAATCCTGGAGGCCAGTGACTTTCCAAGTGAGATTCGGAACCAGCTATAGGGCATCCCCTGGGACTGTACTAGAAATACAAATTCTTGGGATCTCCCTAGACCCAGTGAATCAGAAACTGTGAGTGAGGCCTGACACTGTCTTAACAGGTTTATAATTTACAAACCATAAAATTCTGGTCTAAAAGTACTTTTAGGTATACGATTCATTTTTAGTAAATTTACAATTATGCAACCATCATCACACTCCAATTTTAGAAGTTTCTATGACCCCAAAAGATCACTTGGGCCCATTTGCAATCACTCCCCTGTCCCTGCCCAGCCCTGGGCAACCACTAACCTACTTTCTGTCTCTCTAGAACTGCGTTTTCCCCTCAGGTGATTCTGATTCAAGCTAAAGTTTGAAAACCACTACCTGAAGGCAACAGGGAGCCAGGAAAGGCCTGTAAGCCCAGGAGCCGAGGCCTTGATTTTTAAGATGATAACTCTAGAGGCTGAGTGGAAAGACTTGACTGCGGAGACAGGAGTCAGAAACCCAGTTAGAAGCTCTAACAGTCATCTAGAGCAGTGGCTCTAAACGTGGGGTGAATGTGCTCTACAGGGGACATTGGGCAATGTCTGAAGATAGCTGGTTCTCACAACTAGGGGGTATTATGACGTCTAATGGTCCAAGGCCAGAAGTGCTGCTAAACATCCTACAATGCACAGGATAGCTGCCACAACAAAGGATTAACCAGCCCAAAATGTCAACAGTGTCAAGGCTTATCGTGATGACAATAAGGGATGGGGGCTGGGTGCGATGGCTCTTGCCTGTAATCCCAGCACTTTGGGAGGTGAAGGCAGGAGGATAACTTGAGCCCAGGAGCTCAAGACCAGCCTGGGTAACATAGCAAGACCCCATCTCTATTAAAAACCATTTTTTTAAATCAAAAATAAAAAGATGACAATAAGGAGTGGGATTCTGGAGACCCTTCTGAGGCTAAACAACTAGGATTATGTAGCTGATTATTATGTTAGTTACCAGGAGTCAAAAATGAAAGCTTTAGGTTTAGAAAACTAGGTAGATGGGGGCAGACAGAAATAGGGAATGGAAATCATGTGATTGAGAACAAAGATAATGAGACTAGCCTGGGCCACGTCAAGAGACTGTGGGACGCTGAAAAGAAGGCATTTGAGCTTGAAAGAAAGTCTGGGTTAGAGACAAAATTGGAAAGTGTCCATATATGAAAGATAATTAAAGGCAAAAGTGGATGAGAACATACAGAGGGAGAAAACATGAAAATCATGCGCGGAATTAAAAACATATTTTAAGAGACAAGATGAAGGAAATGCCAAATATAGAAACTATGAAATAATGTTTCAAGAAAAGAGGAAAAACAGGTCACGGTCAAATGCCGTAGAGGCTTGTCAAATAATGCACCGACTTTGATGAAAATGATTTTTCAAAAGAGACAACGTGCAGGTATACAGTATAAAGAACCTCACACCTTTGAACTTAAAGCCTAAAGGCCTCCAAAACCAACTCTGCTTGCAAAATAACAATTTTAAAAAGCTGTTACTTTTGGTCATTAGATCTTTAATCTCTTCAGCAATAACTTCATTTGCTGAGGTTAAAAGTTCGTATTTTCCATCTTTACTCCCAGAGGGATTAAATTCAGGAGGAGGGTTGCCAGGGTCTCCGAAGAAGTCTCCAAGTCTGCCATTCTTTCCAGGATATAAGAACCGGCTGAAACAGCAGGGGGGAAAAACCTGGTTACTCCAGGACTCACTGCCCATGCTCACTCATGATCAGAATGAAATTCAGCAGAGACAACAAACAAAATCACGACAATCTGGGACTCACAAGATTCCACAGTAAATTTCATTGTTTAAAAATGTGTAAGATAAAATTCAAAAAGAAAAAGCGTATAAAAACAAAGAAAAAATACATAAAGTAGGCAAATTGGCAAACATTTGCCTATCACCACAGAATATTTTACTGGTTCAGTGTTTTCTGAAAAGTGTGGGGAAATAAAGAGGGTGTTGGGTTGTAATCTCCAAAATGCTGCCAAGGGGTGCCCATGCTTCCTTTCTCAAATGACAAACACAACAGGTTCACACCAAATTCTCACTCACTACCAGTTTATTTAAGGTACACATCTATCCCAGTAATAAAAATCTGGTCCAAAGGTCCCTGAAAAGATTCTCCTACTGATTCATGACTTTTTTTTTTTTTTTTTTTTTAGACGGAGGTTGGCTCTTTCCCCCAGCCTGGAGTGCAGTGGCATGACTTCAGTTTGCTGTAACCTCTGCCTCCCAGGTTCATGCGATTCTCCTGCTTCAGCCTCCTGAGTAGCTGGGATTACAGGCACCCGCCACCATGCCTGGCTAAATTTTTTGTAGAGATGGGGTTTCACCATGTTGGCCAGGCTGGTTTTGAACTCTTGACCTCAAATGATCTGTCCGCCTTGGCTTCCCAAAGTGCTGGGATTACAGGCGTTTTGAGGCACTGTGCCCAGCCCCCCCTTTTTTTTATTTTTTGAGAAACACTCTCTCTCTTGTTGCCCAGACCAGAGTGCAGTGGTGCGACCTCAGCTCACTGCAACCTCCACCTCCTGGGCTCAAGTGATTCTCATGCCTCCTGAGTAGCTGGAATTACAGGCATGTACCACCACGCCCAGCTAATTTTTTGTATTTTTAGTAGAGACATGTTTTCACTATGTTGGCTGCTATGAATGGCTGTCTCAAACTCCTGACGTCAAGTGATCTGCCCACCTGAGCCTCCTGAAGGGCTGGGATTACAGGCGTGAGCCTTGTGACTTTTAAGATAATCAGGGCTGGGTGCAGTGGCTCACGCCAAGGCGGGTAGATAATGAGGTCAAGAGATTGAGACCACCCTGGCCGGCATGGTGAAACCCCGTCCTACTCCACTGCACTCCAACCTGGTGACAGAGTGAGACTCTGTCTCAAAAAAAAAAAAAAAAAAAAAAAAAA